AACAGCCTACCCAGAGAGGTGGTGGATTCACCATCCCTGGAGGTTTTTAAGCAGAGATTGGATGTGGCCCTTAGTGCCATGCTATAGTAATTGGAGTTGGATCAGGGGTTGGACTTGATGATCTTGGAGGTCTTTTCCAACCCAATCTATTCTATGATTCTATGATTCTATGATTCTAGTTTCATTTTCTCTGTGCAGTCTTTTGCTGGTTTGCTTTTCGTTTTCTTAAAAAACTTTTAACTTCTTTTTTTAAATGTTTGTCTGGTTTGATGGGTTTTGTTTCTTTGTTCATTTGTTTTCCTATCCACAACTTTGCTTAAACATTTTAGAAGATTTTTCTTTCTCCATAAGTAATGTTTGTCCCCAATGTCCTCAGTATGTCTTAACAAAAAAGCTCTTATTTTAGATTGTACTGAACTTTAGAGATTGTTGTATTATCTCCAGCCAGTATCTACATGGCTGTCTGGTTCAGCACTAGGGTTTTACTGCTATCAACCAGTAAATTCAACACAGGGTTTTAAGCAGACTTGGTCAAAATCACTCAGTTTTTGAAAGGCCTCTCCTTTTTAAGGAACATCACGTTACTCAAATATTTTTTTTGAAATGAGTGAACTTGATATAACTCCCAGACTACAGAGTTGCTTGAATAGTCCCTGTCCTCTGACACCTGTTCCTCTTAAGCTGATTGAAAGTGCATGCATGTGTAGAGTTACAGATAATGTGTGGCACCCTAGGGAATAAATATTTGTGCATCACTGTTCCACTGCAAACATTATATTGTCTGCGTTGCTCCAAGCCTGATCTGTTAAAAGTCTTTATTTTCAGAAGAGAAGATAAATGGAAGACATTCCTTTATGTTTTAAGCTTTGCCTGTCCTGCTTCTACTCAACCTCTTCCAATTTCTCTGTATCACAATCATCACCTGTGTAACTAATTCTTTTTCTCTCTTTCCTTAGAAGGTTTACAACCTCTTAACTTCCCCAAAACCTTTCCCAATTCTACTTCTGTTATCAGTCACATTTTCTGGTTTATTGTACCATCTTACTTCTTTTTATTTTGATCTTAGAAACATTCCTTGAACTCCACTTTGCTGAAACCTCAGGGAATTGTAAAATACAAACCAGAACCCCTCACATAACCAAACCAGTTCCAGCTGTTTTCAGTTCCGTTTTTATGCTGATGTTATGTATACTGAGACATGTATTTGAAAGTTGGTGAGGACCCAGTGGAATGGATGTCTGATATTTATGAGACAGCTGACATTTGATTTCGGGCAGTTTAATGCTTGTTATTTCTTTTTCTGCAATGGTATGTTGGTTTGCTGGTGCAAATTCTGTCAGTGGTAGCAAGATCAGCTGCCCTGAGGACACTGCTTTAAATTTCTGGGAAAGTGAGCTGTAGAATGTAATGCTAATTATTACACTGCTTGATAATCTCATAGATTGAGGAGCCATAAGTAGAAGGTCAGATGAGGGTTTAAGAAAAATGTAATGATAAAAGAAAAGAAACCAAAAGAACTTCAGCTCAGAAAAGCACTGAGTCCTTTTTTCTTCCAATTATCACTGTGCTATTCTACTGTGTGCAGCTGAATATAAAAACCTCTTACTGCATTTGCAAAATGGCAAGCATTTAGAAAGGTAGGGAGCTATCAGATAGGATTATGGTTTTGAGCGAACTGTCTTTCTAATAAGTTAAAGTTAAGTCAGTTACCAGTAATCTAAGTATTTGGGTTTAACTACCTCTGGGGAGACATTTTGGTCAAGTTTAGCCCTGAGACAATTGGAGAGGGCCAGGCGGGTGCACATAAGGATGTGTCTAACTT